TTTGGTAGCTTACAGTAAGGAAACAGCGTTGATCAGGAGGCATGTCAAGAAGCATATTGCATTCAGAGAGGCACACACACAGACACACAGTTCAGGTGATAGTACCAGCGACAGCGAATGAAAACCGACGTGCGTTAGCCGATTCCTGTGGTTTTAGAAAGATTTCCAAAGGCAACGAAGAATTTCCACGTTTTCACGTCATCAAGGTAGGTCATGTTTTTTAAAGGCAAACATGAGGCGGCACGCATGGAATTGCGATTTATCAACAAAACCGGGAACAGACATTTTGACAAACCGTCATATGCACCGTGAATGCCGCGCTAAGTTCTCAAACTGCATGCGACCGGACGTAGATGCGCCATGGATAGCACAAGCATCATCCCCTCAAGTTTCCGGAGCATCCGAGTTAGCAATCCAATTCAGTGCCCTCTGACGTTGTGAAGGTTCCTGATGGCCAAAGAATCAAAGGGATCCAAGGGTTCGTGCGCATTCGTGCGCCAATGTATTCCATTCAGATCCCCCACTCCACAAATGAGTCAAAGTGTTCCTTCATAGCAGATATAGATATAGATATAGCACCTTCTTAGGATGAAACAGGCGTCAACGAGACTATATTTTGCTCGGATTTCTTGCGCACTTGGAACAGTCCTGCTTTGTCGGGCCATGGACTCTGGACACATGACGACATGTGTAGCTGAGTCAGGTGACATGATTGGAGAAGATGGGGCAGTTCTTTTAATACTTCTCCAACATGGTTTTGTCCAAAACCAGCTACTCAGAATAGAGCTTCGAAAGAACATGTTTGGTCACCGGTTTGCTTTTTTAGTGCTGCTTCAACTCAATCACGGCATGGGCTTGCCTTGCAAGGCGCACAATCTTGTTGCATTTCCTTTCATAAGAATGTATGCCACAAACAGCTTGAGAAAATCTTCGATTTCAATAAGAGGTTCGTGGATTCCTTGCAAGAAGCAAGGCACATTCTCTCCTGCAGCGTGTGCAACCAGTACCCAGCAGCATGACTTCAGATGACCATTCGCTGGTGACAGATTTTCCCTGCACAAGTTAGATGCCAATTTGATCCCCCTTGGAATTTCCTCTACAGAATCGCAACAGTTAAGCTGGGGAAAATGGTGCGTTTTAACCCCCTGCTTTGTTGAGGGGTACCTACCCAGTGTCAACGCTTGCAATTTTATAGAGGACCTTGGCGTCACTGATTCTATAGAGATTTCATGTTGAATACAGCACTGAGCACTAGTCAGCTGAGAGTCTTGGGGACTGCGATTCTAGAGTGGGATATGTTTTCTTTGGATGTATACCAGAGCAGCGAGGATTAAAAAAATGGAGACGGATGGAAACAGATGGAAACAAAATGAAGCAGAGTGACTTTCAAGATCTTTCAAGCATTTTTCACCAGTCTATAAAATCGAAGAGGTTGACACTGAACACTTGGAGCAGGAGAGCTTTATAAATTTGGGAATGCATGAGGTAAGCTAGGCAAGGGCAACTGGAGCATTCAGGCCAGCTGTCAATGAATGAGATTTGGGGAAGCTGATTTTATAGAAGGCCAACTAACCCCCTCAACCTAAAAAAGGCTCTACGAGAGTGACTTGGCGGCAGCTATTCCATAGAAAATGATGCTCATAAACAACCTCAGTGACAGCAATTCTATAAAGATTGTCAACTTGAAAATACCTTGGGGTCTCTGATTCTATAGATGCATTTTCAGAAAGAGGGTCAGCGTCTCCAGAATTATCACTATAAAATTGCTGACACCAACACTCTCACTTAATTCAAAGGGGGATCCAATTTGGATGCCAGTTGCAAAAGGTTCACACATTTTGTGGCGGGCTGGAACTTCTTAAAGCGATCCCTACCCTCTTTCTTAAAAATGGAATTTGAGGGGGGGAGTCGTACTGAAATTTCATTTTAAAATTCCATTTTTGCAATCATGTGGCGTTTGCATTCCAAGAGGTATCCACTGCGCTTGATTGGATGGGTTCGTTTCTCTTGCCACAAGCCTTCAATTGACAGCACCTCGTGGAGTCTCGAAGAGCCGGAAAGCAGTTTGAAGGCTTGTCTGCCTTGCTGGCCTGCAGCCAAAGGAAGTTGCATCATACTGCATCCCCCTGTGAATTGAAGACAGACCCACGGAGTGATGAAATTGAAAAGACAAAGGTTGCTGTAGGCCTTGCTCTGAAGCAAAGCGGTCTCTTAGACACAGATGGCCCAATCTTATTGACTTAGGTGATTCCAGCAGTGGTTCTGTTCATGATCGTCCCAGCCGTGAATGTTCTCTGGGACTTTACAAGCCAGTTCCAGTACAGCGCTCTTATGCCCTTGATGCTTTGGGGCTTTGTCAAGTGGTCCGATGTTGGAAGCAACTCTCGTGTCTTCCTGCTGTGTCTTTTTGCATCACTAGCTTTAGGCAGTATAGAGATCCAGGATGATCCACAATTTCAGCAAGACATGGTTGCTTTCTTGGTCTCAATGGTCTTATTTTGTTTTGTTTCAAGAGTCGTCTTCGCTTTTGGCTGAAGAGCTTCGTCTGGAACGACAGGTTCCCTCCGAACTGAAGCCTCGAACCATGTACGCTTCAGATGGCTTGTAATCATGAACCCGATTGTGTGTGGCGAATGACAGGAAATCACATATAGTAGCGGGGCAACAATATGCAGTCCTTGAATGTCCTTGACGGGCTCATCGAATTCAGAAGCTTTCACCGACCGTCCAGCCAGGTGCGCAAAATTGGAAGGACCGAAAGAATTGCTGGATGCAATCTCTCTCTGTTATGAGTTAGATTCAAACTGTTTGAAATGAAAGAGTTCAGAAGGTTCGAGTTACACAAATTCACAGCAGGCATTCTTAAGATTCAAGCTTCACCCCCCGATTCAAGAGATGTTTGCGAGGTGACACTCTCCATCGATTTTTGGCATGCTGAAATACTTACTCTGGCCATCTCTGGCCGACCGTCCAGCCAGGTGCGCAAAATTGGAAGGACCGAAAGAATTGCTGGATAATCTCTCTCTGTTATGAGTTAGATTCAAACTGTTTGAAATGAAAGAGTTCAGAAGGTTCGAGTTACACAAATTCACAGCAGGCATTCTTAAAATTCAATAAAATTCAAGCTTCACCCCCCCGATTCAAGAGATGTTTGCGAGGTGACACCGTCCATCGATTTTTGGCATGCTGAAATACTTACTCTGGCCATCTCTGGCCGACATACTTTGCGCTTGCCACAGAATTTTTCCTGCATTCTTTTCCTGTAAGTATTACTGATGATGAGCTGCCAGCAAGGAACTATGGGCGCACGTTGAAAGCTCCAATCCAAGACCAGCTTCAGTCCTGCACAAGATTCTTTACAGGAATCTGTCAACACAGTCGTCATAACTTGAGCTAGCCTCACATCAGGAAAGAGTGAGGAAGAGATGATTCCGCCAGTAAACTAGCCACCGTATGCCACCGTGAGTGGTAAATTTGTGTGTTGAGTGAAGACATTTGTTGTTTCACAGTGCAAAATGATGTCAGAGTCTCAGCGCCTCAAGCGTGCAAGAGACCCATCAAGTACAGTGCGGTCAGTTTCAGTCGGGTAGCAGTTGCAAAAGGTTCACACATTTTGTGGCGGGCTGGAACTTCTTAAAGCGATCCCTACCCTCTTTCTTAAAAATGGAATTTGAGGGGGGGGGGAGTCGTACTGAAATTTCATTTTAAAATTCCATTTTTGCAATCATGTGGCGTTTGCATTCCAAGAAGAAGAGGTACCCACTGCGCTTGATTGGATGGGTTCGTTTCTCTTGCCACAAGCCTTCAATTGACAGCACCTCGTGGAGTCTCGAAGAGCCGGAAAGCAGTTTGAAGGCTTGTCTGCCTTGCTGGCCTGCAGCCAAACTTCAAGCGTAAATTTGGAAGAATTGATCCCTCGGTTTCAACCAGACTTCCATACCATTCCATGCCATTCCGTACCACACATCCGGGTAAGGAGCTACAAGGGCCAGCAGGTGGCCAGCAGAGTTACCCGAGTTACCCTTTATAGGTACCATCATTTAAGATGCTAAGGGCTGCTTCAAGAAGGCCAGGTAAGATATTTGCCACCCAGACTATACGGAAGACAACCTCACAGAGATGCTAAGGCTGCTCCAAGTCAAGTCCTGAAGGCCCGCGATGCAATGTGAAATGCATTCAAACCACCGTGCGCAGAGCCTAGTGGGCTCAACGAGCCCGCCTGCGCTCAGTACACAGAACTTGTAAGCGTTACCTTTGAACGTGTGCCCCACGCTTACGGTAGATATTTTTGTCTGAACACTCTTGGTCCTGGATGCACACAAAGAAGAACACAACTGCACTTTGGTTTGCCGAACCAAAACGGCAAATAAAGATCAGGGGGCTCAGCCCCAGGTGCTTCCTGAATGCGTGCTCGCTTTGCACTGAAATCATGCAGTCTTGCATGATGGAGTTGAGTGCGACAGGGCATGACATAGAAAACCCATGAAACATAGATGCTCCGGATCGTTCAAGCCACACAGCTGGCTTCAGAGCGTGAATAAAGTATAGACACAGAATGCAGAATTCGGCATCCCACAGGCTTGAGAGCCATTGAGACCGTGGCTTTCTGCCAGCAAAACAGCGGCATGTGGGATCTCAGTGGAGCCATAGCGAACTGTTGATATCTAGACGGCGGAAGTGCAGGCGTAGGCTCAGACCCACTGAGTTTGGAGGAGCTTGGGCATAACTTCAGGTGGTAGCCATCCTTTGCACGGTTGTTTGCAGAGGTGGCGCACCGTCGTGTATGCCAGCTTGGCCCAGCTTGGCTGTCAATCCCAGTAGATTCTAGTAGATCCTAGCGGTTTGCGTCAAAATACTCTGTCTTTGGTGTCTGGGTGCTTTCATGTGTTTCAAGAAAACTTGCATTCCCAAATGCTCCCAAGTACTTTGAAGGCAAACATGAGGCGGCACGCATGGAATTGCGATTTATCAACAAAAGCGGGAACAGACATTTTGACAAACCGTCATATGCACCGTGAATGCCGCGCTAAGTTCTCAAACTGCATGCGACCGGACGTAGATGCGCCATGGATAGCACAAGCATCATCCCCTCAAGTTTCCGGAGCATTCGAGTTAGCAATCCAATTCAGTGCCCTCTGACGTTGTGAAGGCTCCTGATGGCCAAAGAATCAAAGGGATCCAAGGGTTCGTGCGCATTCGTGCGCCAATGTATTCCATTCAGATCCCCCACTCCAAAAATGAGTCAAAGTGTTCCTTCATAGCAGATATAGATATAGATATAGCACCTTCTTAGGATGAAACAGGCGTCAACGAGACTATATTTTGCTGGGATTTCTTGCGCACTTGGAACAGTCCTGCTTTGTCGGGCCATGGACTCTGGACACATGACGACATGTGTAGCTGAGTCAGGTGACATGATTGGAGAAGATGGGGCAGTTCTTTTAATACTTCTCCAACATTGTTTTGTCCAAAACCAGCTACTCAGAACTGAGCTTCGAAAGAACATGTTTGGTCACCGGTTTGCTTTTTTAGTGTTGCTTCAACTCAATCACGGCATGGGCTTGCCTTGCAAGGCGCACAATCTTGTTGCATTTCCTTTCATAAGAATGTATGCCACAAACAGCTTGAGAAAATCTTCGATTTCAATAAGAGGTTCGTGGATTCCTTGCAAGAAGCAAGGCACATTCTCTCCTGCAGCGTGTGCAACCAGTACCCAGCAGCATGACTTCAGATGACCTTTCGCTGGTGACAGATTTTCCCTGCACAAGTTAGATGCCAATTTGGATGCCAGTTGAACGAGCGAAGCTGCTGGCTGTGGCGTTTGCATTCCAAGAAGAAGAGGTATCCACTGCGCTTGATTGGATGAGTTCGTTTCTCTTGCCACAAGCCTTCAATTGACAGCACCTCGTGGAGTCTCGAAGAGCCGGAAAGCAGTTTGAAGGCTTGTCTGCCTTGCTGGCCTGCAGCCAAAGGAAGTTGCATCATACTGCATCCCCCTGTGAATTGAAGACAGACCCACGGAGTGATGGAATTGAAAAGACAAAGGTTGCTGTAGGCCTTGCTCTGAAGCAAAGCGGTCTCTTAGACACAGATGGCCCAATCTTATTGACTTAGGTGATTCCAGCAGTGGTTCTGTTCATGATCGTCCCAGCCGTGAATGTTCTCTGGGACTTTACAAGCCAGTTCCAGTACAGCGCTCTTATGCCCTTGATGCTTTGGGGCTCAAGTGGTCCGATGTTGGAAGCAACTCTCGTGTCTTCCTGCTGTGTCTTTTTGCATCACTAGCTTTAGGCAGTATAGAGATCCAGGATGATCCACAATTTCAGCAAGACATGGTTGCTTTCTTGGTCTCAATGGTCTTATTTTGTTTTGTTTCAAGAGTCGTCTTCGCTTTTGGCTGAAGAGCTTCGTCTGGAACGACAGGTTCCCTCCGAACTGAAGCCTCGAACCATGTACGCTTCAGATGGCTTGTAGTCATGAACCCGATTGTGTGTGGCGAATGACAGGAAATCACATATAGTAGCGGGGCAACAATATGCAGTCCTTGAATGTCCTTGACAGGCTCATCGAATTCAGAAGCTTTCACCGACCGTCCAGCCAGGTGCGCAAAATTGGAAGGACCGAAAGAATTGCTGGATGCAATCTCTCTCGAGTCATAGTCTCAGAGTCTGCTAGCTGAAGGATTGCGCCTGCGAGAATCATATGCACCGTGAATGCCGCGCTAAGTTCTCAAACTGCATGCGGCCGGACGTAGATGCGCCATGGATAGCACAAGCATCATCCCCTCAAGTTTCCGGAGCATCCGAGTTAGCAATCCAATTCAGTGCCCTCTGACGTTGTGAAGGCTCCTGATGGCCAAAGAATCAAAGGGATCCAAGGGTTCGTGCGCATTCGTGCGCCAATGTATTCCATTCAGATCCCCCACTCCAAAAATGAGTCAAAGTGTTCCTTCATAGCAGATATAGATATAGAAATCAAAAAACCATGTAATCAGAATTTGTCTTTATAAAATTGAACTCTCGCCATATGCCTGGTGAGTCTCTTCACGCAGCAGCCCCTTCGCAGTGTCTCGTCATCATCACCATCATCATCATCAACATCAACATCATCCTCATCCTCATCACCATCATCATTCGACTTGAAATTCGGCTTTTTCGACATCCATTTTCCAAGTACCCAACGGTGCGATGAAAGTGACAGGTTCGACCATCCATAGGTACCGCAAAAAGAGACATTGGTGCTAACACTGACCGTGTTTTTTTTTCCCCGCACGATGCGTGTGTCTGACAATGTATACCTGCAAATGGCTATTTAAATGGACTAAGTGATGAGCAACCATGGACATCGTGGGGTGCTCTCTTTTCGGAACCAGATATCTCCGCTCTGCTCTGAATGTCCCGTTCCATGCCCCCCTCCCAAGTGAACTCTCGTCACATGCCTTGTGCGTCTCTTCACGCAGCAGCCCCTTCGCAGTGTCTCATCATCAGCATCATCGTCATCATCCTCATCATCATCATCATCATCATTCCACTTGCAATTCGGATTTTTCGACATCCATTTGCCACGTGCCCGGTCGCATGTCGGCTTTCGCACTGCGTGATCCCCCGCGTCCCCTGTGACACAACTACCTTTCGTGTCACCCCTTCTCAAGTCAAACCACACAAGAAGAAGGAGCGCGGGGAACACACATTTGATGTTTTGATCATCTTGATCATCCGCATTCATGATCCATTTTTTTGATTTTATGATGATATTCACTTTGATATCATGGGATGTATAATTAATTGGGGCATGCGTCAAATTTCTTGGCCAACAAAATGGATGGTTTGACATTCAAAATCAGTAACCTTGCGGGTCCATTTACCCCTTTTTTGACCCATGCTTAAATCATTCGTTTGATCTTTTCACATGCCAGTCATTTGTATTTTTTGTGAATGATCCATGGTTTGTTGATGTTTATTGATTGAGGACACCTCGCAAGATGTGCCTACAGACCTCTTTGTGGCGTGGGGGAGACAGGCCAGAGAGTGAGTGGTAGCATAGATCCACCATGATCCACCATAGATTTGAGCGGCAACTGGTTTGAGCTTCGCAAGGCTGAGATGAGGTACCCCCTTTCGGAGATGGAAATTGTGAAGCCGAATCCTCAGCATGTGTAGATGTATGACCCCTTTGTTTGGACAGTTTGGACAGGGTGACGGGCGTTCTTGGTGTGGCAAGTACTGTTTGCCAGGTATTTTGACAGCAAGTGTAAGGAGATACTTCTGCAGTGCACAACCCAGCAGCATCTTGCCTTGGTGCAACAGACATGCACAGATTATATTTCTACAGCATGGATAGGGCTCTCAAATCTGATCTCCTTTGTTGGAACTTGCCCTCAATGCATCTGGAAAAACATCTGCCATGGAAGTGACACTTTTTCGCTCCGAGGCTTGAGAGTAATGAAACTCCATCAGGAGCGCAGCCTTTACAGCTGCCACGGGGGGATCCAACGCTGACTTTGGCCAGAGGAGCTTGCGACCCTGCCATGGATGGTGCTGAGCCGGAAGAAAAAGTGCCTTACTGAGAGCACCTTCTGTGGTGACTTGATGCTTGGAGCAATTTTATTCATGCCCTTGGATTTCACGGCCTGAGGTTACAGGTGCGACAGACGTCTCTGGCCCCAAGAGACATGAAAACGAACATGCAGGAGAACCCCAAATCCAACTAAGTCATGAATCATATGAATCTTCCTGTCGTCCAACTATCTGGAGTGCAGTTTTTTCTTCAAGCGACGCCAGGAGCATTCCGAATGCTTTTACCGTCCCGTCTCAACGTGGACATCTCCACGGAAGTGTTGGAGATTTTGCAGTCGGCCCATCGACTTCACCGGACCGATGCTCCCATGAAGGCCATGGTGGTTTCAGTTTGGAGATTCCTCGATGTTAGAGTTCGGCTCCGAAATCCTCAAGTCGTCTTTCACTTTGAATCATGTTTCATATTTGGGTATGGATCAATACCTATTAATACCATTTTTAGGGGAATGACCATCCATAAATCCCAGCTATTTTGATGTTCACCAGGGGGCAGCGGATTTTTTGGGGCTCCACGGCTTCAATCATTGGCAGACCACGGCAGGTGGCCCTGCGAAGCGGTTGGTTGGATCCTAGGAAGTTGCCATCCACGGTACTGTGCCAAAAGGATCTGGATGAAATGGCCAGGAGGCTCGCCATGGCATTGTGTCGAAATCAAAGCTGAGAATTGAAGATCTGTATCAATTGATTTATCATGTTTTTTATCGAACATTTATGTAGATTAATTATTCAATTCTATATCACATTATATCAGCAATAATTTATGTAGGATTCCATTAGATTCCCCACTTTCTATTTTTGATTCCTGAAGTTTTTCATAGTTTTTTCCGACAGCTTCGAAACGATCGCGGAAAAGGCTGTGCTGGAAGAACGTACCTGGACTGGTGCACATCCCTGGATCGCCACACCGGGCCCACTTCGGACAATCGGCGTCCCGACTTTGCAGCGTCACGGTGCATGTGGGGCGCTACTTGGTCTACACTAAATGGTAAGTCTGGTGAATGATGATCTATGATGATCTATGATGATCTATGATTATCTATGATTATCTATGATTACCGTTTTTTTTAAAGACTTTTACTGTGGGAAGCACATGGAATTACTGTGGGAAGCACCCAAAGAAGCCCTGCATCCCACAGTAACTCATGTTTTGCGAATGTCGAGACTACGCGACTGCCCTGGTTTGATCTGACTGACTGAGGCTATTTGGAGGGCCTGTGGGACAAAGCCCAAGATCTGGATGGTTCCACCGTGTTTGTGGGTCCAGCCGGCTGCGGCAAAACCACAATTCTCCGAGATGCGGCCGTAAACATGTCCAAGGAGCTGCAGGTGTCTTGACCGGCCAAACTGACCATTGTAGCGGTTCAGATAAAGAAAATGAATGATATGAATGATATGAATGATACTGAACCTTTGAATTTTGGGGCACTCATGGAGCACTCTATTTGTGGACAAAGCCGTTTCTCTGTCATTTCTCTTCAGATCGTAGGACGTGTTTGTTCATTTTCTCCAATCCCGAACTTTGCATATATATATATCTTATTGAGTATGTTTGAGAGATGGACGCGCAAGAAACTGGCAACATGAATATCATTTCGTTGTTTTTTGTGGCTCATCCACATCAAATCATACTCCGGTATGTTTTCTCCCAGTTTTCATGGAAGAAAAACTCAGCGAACGCATATTTATCATAGGTTTGATATCAATAGAATGACATCAATGGATGAGTTTAAACAAACTCATTCCCATATCCCAGAATTTTCCCCATGCAAACTGCAGGTCCAGGTGGTGGACCTTTTGGGTGATTTCTCTGACCTCGTGGGAAATGCCGACCTGGGCTGCCTGACGGGTACAATGGGTACAGGTGGCGTGGAGAGGATCCGACAAACCATTGATGAACATGTCCCAGAGGTGGGATGTTCAAGATTTTTTGAAGTATTTTGAAGTATATTTTGTGGTGGTTTTGTTGTGGTTTTATTAGATATACAGATTTTGTTTGTTGGAAAGATCATTGCTGGTATCTTGGGCTTTGATTTCGTTATTTCGAAAGATAGGTCATCATCGCAGAATTTCGCGACAAGTATTCCGCTCTCAAAGCTGGGTTCATTTGCCGTGAAGCCGGTGTTCGCTTGGTGTGTTCTGTGCGGACCAACCTGCAATCCTTAGTGGACTCCTTTGTTCATGTTTACAGTGGCCGACCGGAAGCGCGGGATGTCGCATGCTTGACCTTCCCCTTTGCATCGGTGGTCCTGCTTTCAAGGCAAAGTGAAGACTGGGAGATTTACCGTGATGCCCCTGCCGTCATTTGCAGCAGGGGGCGAAGTCGTTTTCCCAGATGTGAATTGCATCACAGTTCCGACAGTGCTGAAAGTGCGGGATGTTCTGTGGCTGAGTTCGAAGAAAACCAAGAAACAGGGAGCGCATGTGTTGCGGCAGAAAATCATGTCAGCGACCTCCCAGCTGACAAAGCGAATGATGTGCTTGTTTGACAGCAGAATCAGCGGTGCATGGTGTGCCCAGCAAATCTCTGCAAACAGAAGGCGAAGTGCCCGCAGATGGTGATGTTGGTGCATACCTTGCCTGAGCAAAACAACGTGTGTTGTGCGATCATGCAAGCCGAGTTTCAGATGTATGTTGTGCATCGTGTTGGATATGTTGGCACAGACAGTTGTCCGCTGGCAAGTTTGATATGTGACCAGCAAGATTCCGTGCTTTTGTTTTGTTACTTGCAACAAAGAACAGTGGTTTGATATTTTGATGGTGCAGCCATTGATGGGTCAATGCTTGTGATAGTGTGAATAAATTTCATGTGATTTTCTGAGTGTCAATGTCCCAGTCTGGAGCCCAGTAGTTGCTCCTTTTTGAACCCTTGGTGCTGTTGGTTTCTGCATGCCTCTGAATGTTTCTTGGTCCCACTCAGAAGTGGACAGATGGCATTACACGTTTCAGCCTCAGTTGCCATTTGTCAAACTATGTGCAATCGCATCCATCTGCTGATTTCGCCAAGCCACTCACTTCTTGTTTCAGCTTACAGTCATCCAAGAAATCTTTCACGGGCTGCGGAGGTTTCTCCTGGAAACATGGCGGTGATCACGCCGATGAAAAGGCACCCACGCTGTCGGGATGAACATCTTGGGAAATTCTTGAAGAATCCTGTGAGGTCTGTGAGACTGTGACACTCTTTGTTTATATCTGAGATATTCTGAGATCATTGTTGGAGCCATTTGTAACACGCAGCTGCAACAGTTTTCCTATAATGTCAACCCCGGATTAATAAACCATGGTTTATTAATTAGGGGGGTACCCCTCCAATAGTCATAATATGATACTTAAATGGTACCCTCCCAATTAAACAACCGTTTGGGGTTTATTAATCCAGGGTTGACATTACTGATCTGGTGTGGCCAGGAACAAGCTCTGGTACAAAGCGCGCTGCTCTGACATGCGTCTTGAGGCCACTCATCTGATGCGGTGCTGAATTTCACCCAGTTTTGGTTCCCCGTCCTGTGGTTCGCAAATATATATACATATAATTACATATAATTACATATATGATAAGTCTATATTTATATACTATATTTACCATATAATAGTATTTCTTGATATCATGATATGGTACCTGGTACTTTGATTCTTGAGAGTAAGACTCTACGACCAAGCATTGGATGTTTCCATTTCATCAGGTCGACTTTCGCTCTCGAGCTAGTGCAGAGGAGGCCTTGATGGAGTCTGCGCCTGGCTCTGCCACGTGGCTGCACCGGCCAGCGAGTTGGGCATGGCAATGTCGGAGTTCCCCATGATTTTCCACATGTATTTGTTTTTATAAACATTCGGAACTAGCAACGATATGTCAAGATTTTAATGTATATATATAATATATACATTATATATATATACATATTAATTAATTATAATGTATTATAAATTATAATGTATATTACTGTGCACTAGCTGAAATATAGAGTGGATTCCCAGGCCAACCAGAGGATGTAGGGCCAACATGGCATCCCAGGTGATGGTCTTTGTCCATACAGAGCCAACAGAGGCCGCCAAAGGACAGCTCCGCGTCGACCGCTTCGATGGATGTGAACATATCCCACGGCCATTCCATATATCATTATATATCCCATATAGTATCCATAGTGGTTTCTATCTATAAGTGGTGATGTTTGGGATATTTGGGATATTTGGGATATTTGGGATATTTGGGATATTTGGGATATTTTGATACCTAGATATGAATAGATAATGATGATATACAATGTATATATATATAACTTAACTATCTATATGAATATATGTTGAATATCTGAGTGATGTTTAACATTTGGGTGGATGGGGAAGCACTATTCATGATGAATCATTCCAATGTTGAATGGTTGAAAATCGTTGAAAGTTTTGGTGAAGTCAGGAAGTTCACATTCCACTTCATCATCTTCCAGAAGGCCATTCCATGGATATCACCGCTGATTCAGAAGTTTCTGTTCCGTTTCTGTTTGAGGCACTCACTCTATGTGTCCTTTCGCTACAGAAGGACACGCCACTCTGCAGCGAATGTTTGAGATGTTTGAGATTGTCCTTGGTCAATGCTCTTTCTTGTCCAATCCAGAACGACCGTTCCAATATCGCAAATTCTAAAGTCTGATAAGAACCACACTGGGCTGTATCTTCTAAACGGATTGCTGGTTCAGGTAGTGAACTGATGTCAACCGTTGTTCCGTTGGCAACGCTCATTTTGGCTCGAGATAGAGCGCATAGTCTGCGATTCCAAAAGCGCCGAACCTCAGTGTGCATTTTCAAGCTTCCACATCTATTCAACAGCACAGAAACATCAACAGCAAGTAACAATAAGTTCGGTCTTTGACACTGAGGTCTGCACATCCAGGTCATGGCCGGAAACTCAGGCTGAGTCCGCTTATCTTTGGCCGGCGGCTTGACATGGCTGTAGCGAGGTGGATAATGTGGTGCTGCTGGGTGGCGGAGGATGTTGCTGTTGCCTGCCGCTTCGGCCTGTTGCTGTCCCAAAGCTTCGACGTAGCTGATTAATTCGCCAGGTTCGTGGTCTTTGTGGTGCTGATGCTCGCCTTGGGTTTCAAGAAGGTGTGAAAACCTGCAAAATCCAGCAAAACCAGTTGTTTTCTGGGGTCTATGCCAAGAAAAACAGTGAAATACCAAGATTTTCAGAGTTTGGGAAGTTTGCTGTTACCTTGACAGGTGGAGAGTAGTCAGCCCGCGGCTTAGAGACACATCGAATTTCGTGAGACGTTCAGAAGCCAGCCTTGAGGTGGGCGCTGCAGTACGACTGGTGGTCCGAGTCGGTCAAGAAGGACCCGCTGACGCAGGCGATGTCCAAAACATAAATGCCACGGCTGCAGGAGGTGAATCGTTTCCATCTTTGATGATTTTTGGGTGTTTTTTTGTTAATCTTCTTAGAATTTCTCACTGCAGATATGTTTTTTTTTTTTTTTTCTGAGAATTGTGAAGACTTTCTGTGATGGTACTTAGATGGCATCAGCCAGTAGGCGGGATTGCATTTCGTGGGTATTGGCAACTACTTGGTGACTTTCCCATCCACCAGCAAATACTGTCGCTCGGTGAGACATTGAGTCCAGTATGGAATGCTTTCTTCAAGTGGCGTGAGAGTGAGGTTGTTCCACCACTACTCAAAACCGCCAACATCCAAGGTTATTTCCGCAACTTCGACAATTCCTTCCAACCAGATGATGATGCTTGGTGATTTTAGCAGAATCGTGCCAATTTTTTCACAGATCCTTCAGGAGAGCCGGATTCTTCACGATGCCAAGGATGATGTTTTTATGCCCCCGCTCTCTGTGCGAACCAGCGATGGTTTGAAGGCAGAATCCGCACCAACCTTCTGGTGAAATGATTCAAACATTGTCAGCAGACAATCAGCATGTCCAGCAGCAGCAGGTGACATTGGAGTTGGAGTTTGTGTACAGATTACAGTGTCCCAGCTGCAGTTCTCCAGCTGCCAAGGAAACCGCGTGTTTGTCTTTAGAGCTGAGGATGGCGAAGTTATATGACTTGTACATGCTGGTCGGTGACACTGGCTATAGGACAGAACCTGGGAACAGTTTACATATTGTGTCATAGCTGGGAAACTGGGGGCGACGCCAGGAATACCCTTGTGCACGTGGCTGCAGCTGCGATTTCCGCCCATGCGACCAATTTCTCTGCACAGGTTTGGGGATCGTCTCACATCTTGTCAGATGGGTTGCAAATCTGGCACATCAATGCAGGCTGTTTCAAGAGGGATTTCATCCAACATCTACCCTCTGGTAAACTAACATAACTATGGACAATCACCATTTTTAATGGGAAAATCCACTATTTTTATGGTCATTTTCAATAGCTATGTTAAATTACCAGAGGGTAACACATCATCCAACATTTTGGTGAATCAGTTTCTGCATTTTCTGCATTGAAAGCTCCGAAACCTCCGGTGTTTGAACATCCAAATTCCAGGCGTTCTACGGCGATCGTGGAGACGTGCAGGGGGCTTTTCAGGCGTGCCGTGGAATCATCCCAAAGCTACAGGCTATTGGATGGCCAGGTTTCAATTTGTACCATGAAACCTACCCCTGTATATCAAGTCATATAAGTATACACAGTATATATATATAAAAGTAATATAAGTCATTTTTGATACACCATATCAGCAATTGTTACTCACCATATTTTTTTTCAAAAGTTCTTTGCTAGTTCCACTGAGGCTGCACTGGCGCAAGAGCTGGATCGAGTGCTGTACATCACAGATGCTTGGTGGCAATGGCGAAAGCACTTAATAAAGCACCAACATCACGGGTAGAAATATGATACAAATCATGAGTTCAATGGTTTCAACATGATATTTTTGGTTTGAATACATGGCTTCAACATGTTTCAAATACTTGTGACTTGTAAGAATATGTTTCTACGTTGGAATCTGGGAAGATCAAGGGTCTTAATCTTGCGGCTTTAGTGTGAGTCGAAACCACTCACCAAGTCATTACATCTAATAAGTAAAATTTTCCGAATTGTTGGTTGAATCTCCAAGTCCATTCGGAGAGCTCTGATTTGATATTCTCCCAAGCCTCGCCGACTACCAGCAGCGTCGCTGAGGTGGTGAGTTTCCAGCTGCAGCCCGCGCATTTCCCACCGAAGTATGCGGCCGCCATAGTGGAGACGCAGGAAATGAAGCAGGACATCCAAGTGGCGGAACAGGAGAACAAGACCAAGGCTGCTGATGTCTGGTGGATAGGTGGTTAAGGCGGTTAATGCTTGAGGTCTGCTGTATGATGAGGTTGAGAGGCTTCAGCGAAGAATTGGATGGGGAATTGGATGGTTTTAGGAAAAACAAGTTGCGGCTTGCGTTTGGGACCAGTGTCATTTGATACCATTTTTGGAGCCATTCCCACGTGTCTTAGCTTATCAGCTGACTCCATGCTGTTGGCACTGTGACAGGTGATTCAGAAGCAGACTGAGCTCTTCAGTGCGAGGTGCGGGTTGACACCCGAAGGGGTTGGGTGAAGATGGTGGAAGCACGCTTCACCAGTGCTGAACTTGGCCAGGCAATTGGCGCATCAGATCATTATCAAAGCCGAGGGCGAAGCGCAGCAGACTTTGGTTAGGAATCAGGCAGCCCCTGTGACCTTTCAACTCGGCCAGTTTTGGTGGGTTTCTGGGGATCAAAATAGTTCAGCCAGTTCAGCTGTTCACAAGCTGCAGGCAGATGTTGCGCAGTTCAAATACCGGCAGCAAGCACGTCACTCAGTGCCGTCATCTGTGTCGCTGAGAGTGGCCCGCTGGGCCCTCGGTACGGTGCAGGTGCTTGCTGAAGGCTATTCCAAAGCACTGAATTTCTTCAGCAGCAGCGGCCAGGAGAAAGACGCATGTGATGTGAACTTTTGGTGTTTCAGAATGGAACATCCACCATCGTATGTATGTATATATATATACACATATGGGTATGGGTCAATACCTATAAATACATTTTTAGCGGGATGAACATCCATTTACCAGCTATTTTGGGGTTCACCAGGTACCAGGGTTTTGACTCATAGCCATATATATATATATATCACCCTGCTAATGTCCTCTGCAAGATCTTGGAGCACGTGCTCCAAATAAATCGTTTTTTATTACGCACTTTGCCTGCCTTGGAAGCTGCTGTTTAGATTCTATAGAGTTTCGATTTCCTGTTTCTTATTCTATAGAGGGCCTCTTTTCGGGTTTTCGACCAAATATCATCGAGATGGTGGTTCTGATTCTATAGGGGGTAAAATCTTGCTTAAAAAGTATGATTTTGTAGAGGGTGTTATTTTTGTTATCAAATTGAGCAAGTAAGAAGATCTCTGCTTTCAAGACCCTTTATTTTTTAAATGTTGTCAACAATGGTTGATCATGTCAATGAATAGGATTTGAGGTTTGCGCCCCTCCCTCCTCATGCGGTTCCTCGCTTGCTTTTCCAAATACACATGAGGGCTTTTTTGGACACTGCTCACCTGCATCTCTTCTCACAAAAACTAAGCCACAGGAACCACTGAGGCACCAGAAAGGTTCACGTGGCTTGTTTTTTTTGGAGAAGAGGTGCAGGTGAGCAGGGTCCAAAACAAGTGTCTAGCAAGAGTTGTGTCAGATGGCTGTCCGGCGCCAGGATGCAATTCTTTGCAGGAACATCACATTTGGGGCAATTCAAGTCACGTAACTGTTGTGTAAGACCGTCTCACACTCCAACCCCGGCGTTAGTCAAAATTGTGGTCGCGTAAGTCGTGCGTAAACCCACGCTTAAGCAAACCATGCGACGTCGGCATTGAATCACACCTTTCAATAGGGAAACAATAACCAAAACATAGGGAAATAAGGACGAAAAACAGGGAAAAACCAAGGAAAAAATAGGGAAACAATAAGGACGTAACAGGGAAATAATGGTGAAACAATAGGGAAAATAATAATAATAATAAATAATAATATGTAAAAAATAGGGAAACAATAGGGAAATAACACAGAAAACATAGGGAACAAATAGGGAAAACATACAGAAATAATATGGAAACCATAAGGAAATAATAGGGACAGAATAGGGAACACATAAACGAACTAATAAGGAAATACTACGGAAATAATAGAGAAATAATTCAGAATTAATAGGGAAATAATATGGAAAAACATATGGCAATAATAAGGAAATAATAGGGAAACAATAGGGAACCGATAGTAAATAATAGGGAAACAATAGGGAAATAATAAGGAAATAATAGGGAACTAATAGGGATAATCATAGGGAAAAAATAGGGGAAAAATAGGAAAACAATAGGGAAGATAGGGAAATAATACGGAAATAATAGGGAAATAATAGGAAAAACATAGGGACATAATAGGAAAATAATAGGAAAATAATAGGAAAATAATAGGAAAATAATAGGGAAAAACATAGGGCAACAATAGGGACATAAAAGAGGGAACTAGATGCAGCCCACGAACCCGAATGCAGTCACGTAGAACACTTTTGATAAACAAGTTTTTTAAACAGTTTTTGTACATTTTTCCCCTGTTACCGTACCACTAGACTGTGGAATGCAGAAGAGTGGAGTGTGGAGTGTAGAGTGCGGAGTGTAAAGTGTGGAGTGTGGAGTGTAAAGTGTAAAGTGTAGAGTGCAAGTGTGGAGTGTAAAATGTAAAGTGTGGAGTGTAAAGTGTAAAGTGTAGAGTGCGGAGTGTGGAGTGTAAAGCGTGGAGTGTAAAGTGTGGAGTGTGGAGCGTGGAGTGTAAAGTGTAAAGTGTGGAGCGTGGAGTGTAAAGTGCAAAGTGTGGAGTGTGGAGTGTAAAGCGTGGAGTGTAAAGTGTGGAGTGTAAAGTGTAGAGTTTAAAGTGTAAAGTGTAGAGTGTGGAGTGTGGAGTGTAAAGTGTAGAGTGTGGAGTGTAGAGTGTAAAGTGTAAAGTGTAGAGTGTACAGTGTAAAGTGTGGAGTGTAAACTTTAGAGTGAGGAGTGTACAGTGTGGAGTGTACAGTGTAGAGTGTGGAGTGTAAAGTGTAAAAAGTGGAGTGTAAAGTTTAGAGTGAGGAGTGCACAGTGTGTAGTGTGGAGTGGGAGTGCAAAGTGTGGAGTGTAATGTGTAAAGTGTAAAGTGTGGAGTGTGGAGTGTAAAGTGTAGAGTGTAAAGTGTAAAGTGTGGAGTGTAAAGTGTGGAGTGTGGAGTGTAGAGTGTACAGTGTAAAGTGTGGAGTGTAAAATGTAAAGTGTGGAGTGTAAAGTGTGGAGTGTAAAGTGTAGAGTGCAAAGTGTAAAGTGCAAAGTGGGGAGTGTGGTGTGTGGAGTGTTGAGTGTGGAGTGTAGTTTGTGGAGGGTAGAGTGTAGAGTACGCAAAAGTACTGCGCCTGCCAGACAAAATAATTTTCGACACGCTTGCAGACACATGAGAATGTCACGAAGTGCCACTCCTGTCAGGCAAAACCACGTTACAACTTGCTTTGACACCTTGAAGCAGGATAGGTTTTGAGCTTCCCCTATAGACATGGCGAGGCCACAGGAAGACCAGAGACTCGAGACGAGACATGTTCGAGCATCAAAACGAGCATTTCCTGCGAGGCGTCCTCCAATTTTCACACTTTGTAGCTTCAAAATCGACGTTTTCCTATGAGTTTTCCTTAGGACCTTAAAATTTGCAAGCTCAAAATCGATGTTTCGTGCGAGGCTTCCGTCAATGTGCAGCACATCTCACAAAATGCCATGTCTGCCACGGAATTTGCACGTTGTCGCCACTTGACGCAGCCCTGACACACGCAAAATGACGATGGACACGTCCAAAGTGCTGCGCCTGCCACGAAAAATGCAACTCATCTTCTGAAAACGACGCAAAAGTATTGCGCCTGCCACACAAAACCACTTTCGACAAGTTACGAAACACGTCTGAATGTCACGAAGTGCCATGCCTGCCACGCGAAACGAAGCAACGCGACGCTGGAAACCTCCAAAAGCGACCCCTGTTGTAGAACTTACCATAGTCACGGCCATATGGCCCTCACGCGGACGGTTGCGGACGGTTGCGGACGGTTGCGGACGTAAACGCAACGTCGAGCGAACACTCCCTCAACCCCCAGACCCCCAGAGTGAAACGGGAACCCTTGCTATGCATTCGGGAACAACAGTGAACGCGTGTTTGAGCCCGTATGGAGTCCAGCTTGGGCCGAAATTGCTCCCAAATGGGTCCGTGTTGGAGCCAAGTTAGGCCGAAGTTGGAGCCAAACTTGGCCAAAGTTGACTCCAACTACACGATGTTACTGCCATGTCGTGCCGATATGCCAAATGCGCAATTACCACAGCGAGGAACCGACTTTTGGCGCTGCAAACATGGCGCCCCCCCCCGCTGAAGCCGTACCAGCCGAACAAATGTGTTCGTAACTTAAAGTCCCACGTCTCGGCACCTTCTGTGCGGGCGGATTTGAAGGATCCCTCCACTGTTCTAAACTGGCTGAGAACTGGGATTTGTTTACCAAGCTACAAATGGTGTGTGTGTGTATATATACATATATATCCCAGGAACTTTGGATTTATTTGTCGGGTTGAAAACCGTATCAGCATATAGTGCTGGAGATATCCCACAGTATACCATAGATCACAAAACTATAACTTATGGAACTGATGATGAAAGATTATTTGGGTGCTGGCTGTAAGTCTCACAGCCGCACCGTCAGGGCTCTGAGAGCAGAGGCCGTGCAACAGATGAAGATGTGTCCGGGAGAGTGTCTTCCATTCCTGGACACCGGAGAACCTTGGATTAGCATGGAAGGAGTAGCAGTAGTAGTAGTAGTAGTAGTAGTAGTAGCAGTAGCAGTAGTAGTAGTAGTAGCAGTAGTAGGAGTAGAAGCAGTAGGAGTAGTAGGAGCAGCAGCAGCAGAAGCAGCAGCAGCAGCAGCAGCAGCAGCAGCAGTAGTAGTAGTAGTAGTAGGAGTAGGAGTAGGAGGAGTAGTACGAGTAGTAGTAGGAGTAGGAGTAGTAGTAGGAGTAGTAGTAGTAGGAGGAGTAGTAGTAGTAGTAGGATAGTAGGAGTAGCAGTAGTAGCAGTAGTAGGAGTAGTAGCAGTAGTAGCAGTAGTAGGAGTAGTAGCAGTAGGAGCAGTAGGAGCAGGAGGAGCAGGAGGAGCAGTAGGAGCAGTAGGAGCAGTAGGAGGAGTAGGAGCAGTAGGAGCAGTAGGAGCAGTAGAAGCAGTAGGAGTAGTACTAGTAGGAGTAGGAGTAGTAGGAGTAACACATAGGAGGACTAAAATAGATGTTGGAGCATGCAAGCCTGATGTGAGCCTGACCTCCCAGAAAACAGACGAGCTGGACTGAACAATGCTGTACAATATTGAACCGCATCAGGTCGAAAATAGTAACAAATGCTGTTTATTTTTGTTTGTAAATAGTAAAAAAACAACCCGATTCTTACACACACCATTTTACCTCGCACAAACCTGTAGTCGTAACTCCAAATGACAAATGTTGTGTTTTTCTCGGAGGTTTCCGTTCAGGGCCTATATGTTTCAAACCCAAACCCTTGAGTATCGCCAACTTAGCGTTCTTCTTTCCATGTTTGGGTCATCATTTAAGTCGAATTTTGGTGGGAAGAATGTTGCCCATGTGTGTTTTTTGAAATGCCTTGAGGGGCGATGGTTTCCGGAGTTCTATTTTTTTTTTCCGAGGTATTTTTATACAAATAAAAAGCATCTATAAGAATATCGCTAAATAGGTTTTTGCATGTTTTTGCTATATGCAAAAAGTTCATCCATAAACCGAAATCAGCTCAATGTCCTTAGTGGCTCAAATCCGAAAAAAATATCGATGCGAAAAAGGTGAAAATCCAAGAAAGTCCAAAGATCATCCTCTCGATGTCTTCTAAAGACTTCTGCAACTCTTGCAATTCAAATTGGATTCAGAACTATATCATGCAATCGTCAGACCTCAAAGTCTCGATAATTAGATCCGACTACCCAAGCAACGCACAGGGCAACGATCAAAGAGAGTTTCA